CTGTTGGTATTTAAACCTGGTGGCTACTGTAGTGACCACTACCACTACTCTACTACTACTATTAAGGACCAGTAGTTGTGGTCTTACGAATCTGTTCTTCTTGTTACTTTTGTCTGTTCAATTTCTGAACTATTTAGTCGCTTAGAGTTCACGTTTCTCGTCTATGCGTCAGCGATGAAAGCACCCTCTGATGAAAGACTATTTCAAACACAGGAGTAGTGTTTCAGCAGTCGTCGGTCATGCAGACAAGCCTTGTGGCATTTTTAGTCTTCAGCCGATTTGGCAGGGTTGAGTTGGCGGTCTGTTCCAAAAACAGCTACTCCATACAGACCCTGTTTTACATCTGTTCGTGCCTTCTGGTCCACTGACTTCAGCAATTTGTTCGGTCGTGCATTTGTTGAACATGAATTGCGACTTACTTTTCGATCCATTTTCAAGCCCACCATAAAGTTAAAGTTGCTGAGGTCAATGACTTTTCTCTGTCATGGTCTCCCGGACATTATGGCAATTGGAATGTAGTCGACAAACCATGGAGTTTTAAGCAAAGTTCATTTCTAATTCAATCGCTTTATGCTGCTGCATAACTGCATTTTCGCAGCAATTCCACCTCTACGGTTCCTTCCTCGAAATACCACAGCTCGTTGCAAGAACAGGTACGATGCAAGAGATTTTCGTTTGGCGTTAAAACTTGTCATGAGCCACAGATGGTAGGTTAATGAGGTCCTGTAAGTCAAAAGAGACCGATCTAAGCTCCACAGACTTATGTTTTCAAAGCAACTTTGTTTGGGTAAGAAATGGTCTGGTTATGATCTAGAGCAGAATGATCAGCTACCAACCCATGAAACTAGCACACAAGCTTCTCATCGAGCAGCCTTACCATAAGTACAAGACGAAGATTTGCGATCGAGACAAATGGAAGTACGATGTCAGATGAATGTTATCAAGGAATATAGGCGAATCTGATGAATAACTTCAACAAAATCTGTACGTTCATGTGATTATGTCCTTGAACGTAGAAACCGTTTTCTCTTGTCATGTTTCGCAGGTTAAGGACACACTGAGATACAAGGAATAACGTTTTTCCCTCTTTGATATACTACTTCAGATTTTGTGAAAGTAAACTCTTGTCTAGCACAGATGACTGCTTACCCGTGAAGTTTCGATTCAGGGTGAAGAGTCACTTAATAGTTGATTGACACAACGTGTTATTATATGTGGACATACTTGATATTGTATTATGTTGTTGTTGTCGGGAAATGCCTGCAGAAGATCCGTATTTTGTTTACCAAATCGGCGGCGGTTGGCGGCAGCCGGTCTACAAAACTCGGCAACGGTAGAAACCACCTCGCAACAACGTGGCGGTCACACAAAGAATGAGCTGTCAGACATAAGCATCTCGCCATTCTTCTTCCATTAAGAATCTAGGCTATCCGTGCGGAATCGCAAGAGTGTGCGCCGATTATCTGCCACGCATTCTACGCATCAGCGGCAAAAACTT